AAAAGACTTTTCATATAGATTCTTTCCAATTTCACCTGGTGCAGCTCTGCTCTTTCTATTTAAACGATAAAATCTGTTTCAAGCCATTAGTCATGAGTAGGTGTCTGTAATGAGACCATGAAAGCCAACATCCCTGCCTCATTTGCAAAGACATGATGACTTTAAATTAAGGTCTTGCCTTGGTGATCCCTCCTTAGCTGGAGTTTCACGTTCCCATTACTGTGTGCAACACACCCCCAGCAGGCTTGAGACCTTCTGCCCCAAAGCTCAGTGCATTCCAGAAGTGAAGCACCATTATGCCAAGACCATTATAAAGTATTTCTCAAGCCCTCACAACACTTTATATTAATGTAAGAGATTAGGGGGATTTACTGTGGTAGCACCTAGCACTGACAGTACTCTGCATTTCAAAAATATCAAATGCAGACATTGACAAGAGGCTTTTAACACCACTGCCAGCAGCGCTAAAAAAAGACAAAGCATTTGGTATCTGCCAGTGGTTTTGCTACTAGTTATGGAAACCAGAACAGCTTGAATAAACCCTGACATCAATGGCCCGGCATTAAAACACTTTAGGGCACCTAAAACCAACTACACCCTTTTGTGTCTATTTTCACAAGCCCCTTGTGGAACCTCCTTGAGCAGCACTGCAGGTTAGTCCCTCAGAGCCTCACCAGGTAACAGAGGCCATCTGGATGGCAAGGAGGAGCATTCAGCAATTGAGGTATGACCTCAGTGGCCTGACCAAACTGGATTGCAGCTACTGGTAGTGCTGGGTTAGTGCTTGGACTACATGATCTTAAAGGTCTTTTCCAACCTGAAACAATTCTAAGATTCTACCTGAGTTAGAAAGGCACTACAGTGTGAAACAAGCCAAGTGTTACACTCATTTGTCACAATTTCAAAAGTGATAGAGTTGTCCTGTTTTTCCATCACAATCTTTGCTGGCTCCCAGCATTTTCCATCTGCAATTACCAGACATAAAACAGGTGTTCACAGCAGTCTCTCACACTGAACTTTACTTCCATTTTTGAGATGCCATAACATCCCCACTGTGGCTGGGAAAAAAGAGGGGCTTCTACTAAAAAAAAAAAAAACCCACAGAAATGTTCCTGACTAACAAATAGTATCAGTCCTGTGTGTCTGACATCTCAATTTTAAGACCCTTAAAGAGGAAATCATGGAGAGAAAAAATGCCAAAGAGAAAACAAGACCTCAGTGAGCAGTTTTCTAACTGGCACAAGACTTGATTGGCATGCAAGGCACCGCAACACATTCCTACTCAGAGAAGATTCAACCCAAACTAATGGATTCCTCTCACTTTGGCCTTTCTTCAAAGCTCTGCTACACTGCTATCAGGCAGAGCTGCCTTCTTACAAACAGCTGCTCTTTCACATCCAGAAAAGGCCAGATGTGAGACCCCACCTAGACCATTCATGCTGTGTGTTCATCCTTTCTGTTTGTCTGCTCTTCCAGAGAAACTCTTGTGTTGCTGTTTCCTCACTGCCTTGACCCTGTTTTCCACAACTGCTTATGCTAGAAAATATTTTGGGAGCTTCTCAGATCAGATATGGCACTGAGAAATTCTACTGCCTCCAACATATTAAGTACAAGGCAGTCCAATCATCTGGAAAGTACAGATAAGCCTATGAATTCATTTCATAAAAGGCTATTTTGACCTTTGACTCAAGAATGTACCAAAACCTCTTTGAAGACATGGGAATAATCACTTGCATGGAAGAGCTAGAATTACATTGGCAGTTAATGGCCAACCCCATCTTTTGACTGTGCAGCATATTTCAGTCCCTTAAAGGATGGGCAGGGAGGAACCAAATGTGTTGAGAGAACACCACAAAACAACAAATTAACACTGTAGTCAGGTTTAACAAATTAGCAAGTGAGGAAAGACGCCAACAACTAGCTAAGACATTCCCTGCTTCATGGTGAGGAACTACAGCAAGGTCAAACCAGCTCATGACTGGGAAGGATTCTGAGTTTGCCTTGGCAAGGAAATGCTTTGCAGAGGGCACTGAGGATCCCATTGTGTTTATAGACTGAAGTGGATCATTGTTTGCTTGCCCCTGGGAATCTCCCACTCGCTGCTGGAGAATATGGGATGGAAAAGGTCTTTTCCCACTATTTCTGATCAGAACATTGGATAAACCCCTTAACATTGGATAAACCCCACAACAGTCAGCAAAGCAGTTCCATGAAGTCTTACAAATATACTTGCCTAGACCAGAAACCTGTATATTCAGACTATGGTTCCTGGAAATCTCTAGGGCTGAGAACATACAGTGGCATTAACAGCCTACCCTTAAAACAATCCCACATCCATCATTTTCAAGGGCCTGCAAATCCCCTCAGCATGTAATATTGTTAAAATTAATGCTTGTAAATAAAAAAGGAGAAAGCCCTGAAATGACAGACTTAGAATAGTAATAAATGGACATTGGTAATTAACAAGGTAATAAAGGCTGCAGTAGGATTAGGAAAAGAAAAAGAGCAAAATCTCTTTCAGCTGATTACTTAGCTACATTTAAGGACATTAATATATAAAAATAAATAAATAAATAATCTAACACATGAACAGGGTGTCAGAACTTAGCTTCAGGTGAATTTGAAACAAAGCAGAGCAGCTGGAAATCCCCCTTCAGACAAAGCTGTGTCAGACATACCTGCCTGATCAGCAGGAGATTACCACAGAGGAGTTTAAGCAGCCACACAAGAATCTAGAGAAAGACTGGTGTCTGAGAAGGAAATCTTAATTAAAAGGAAAGTTTTACCCTTAAAATTCTAAAAACAAATGTTTCCACTAAAGAAATATAAGTCTTCTGAAACTACTGGAATAACTCAAAGGAGAAAATGACCAGTCTCAAATGTATTATCTGTGTGTGGACACACAATCTAAATGTCAGCCTTAAATATTTCAATGTGGTACACTTCAAAAGACAGGGCTATAAAGGATGGTGGATTCTGTGTAGAAAATATTTAAGGAGAACAGAGAAATGGGTAATTAAGTGAACACACAATTTAAAACAAAGGTACATCTGGCAGGAAAAACAAAAAAGGAAAGAGACTGCAGCAGCCAGAAGGCAAGCTTGATCCCTCCCCTTCCCACACACATGCTGAACAGCTCACACAATGAAAACAGCAAATTCTGCTAGCCCACAAAAGCCAGAGCTGGGCTTGATCTGGGCCAACTACCAGTATGGCTCATGCACTCAGAGCCACTGACAGAGGGGAAACCAGAGTCCAAACACACAGACCTGAGCACACTGGCACAGCTGCAAGTGGAGGCAAGAGTTCTCCATCCCTCTCCTCCTGGTGCAGTAAATTGCAGGTGAATAAACACCCAGGGACCACACACTCCCTCACCACAGTGACATCTCCCTTATTTCTCTGCAGTTCATCTGGGGCTATTATTGCTTTATTTTGTTTTATATTCTCCCTATGTTGAGAGAAAGCATGAAGGGAGAAAAAAGAGAAATCTGTCTGCCTTTCAACTTCCTAATCATCTTCCTCAAAATGCTTCATGCATCAGCACTGATTTCATTATCTGCCTGCTGCTAGGGATTTTATTTAAAGAATAACACACAAGGAAGAAAGGATTTAACCTGACCTCCCTGAACTGCTGGGGGATGAATACTACACAGAGCTGACAGTGAAAAGCTCATTTCCTTTCTCAGACTAACTCAAAGACTATGCAAAATTCCCCTCTATCCAAGCCTCCAGTTTTAAATTGGGCTATCAAAGGCTTTTCTTTTTTAGAGGCCTGGGTTAATGTAATCAGTGTATCATCAATGAATGAGGATTGATAACACAAACCATCACAAAGCATAGCTATGGATACAGTGACTCTCAAAGGCAGAACAGTAAGGAAAACTGAGTGAATTAAAACCAATGTTCTTCTATCCAACTATACCAAGAAGATAATAGAAGCCAGTAGGGGCCATCTTTTTTTCCCCCCACTGCATCAGTACAGCATTCATCCTAACTCTTTGGGGTGTTACATATTACAGATCAAGTAGGTTACTAAATGAAAAGGTTGGTGGGAAACATGGAAAGGTATAATAAAGAAACAGTACAAATATCATGGACAGAAAGAGAAATGATTGCAGAGCAGGATACAGCCAGGATCTTCTAGCACACACAAGTATGGGATCCCATCCAATGGAAGGGGCAACCCAAGGTGACTTAAATGAAGTCTGTCCTGGACTGCATAAACAATTTCTTCTCCAGAAGGTCCAGAGTTGTTGATGTAACTGTATCTGGGATGATTCCCCAAGCTCTCATTGGCAGCTCTGCATTTTGTCCACCACATGCTTCTGCAGAGCCATTTATCTCTCTAAGAGTGATTAATGTATAATTCTGATATTTTATTTTGGGAAATAGGCCATCTCTTCCATTCCTGAGACTACTCACAGTAGCCTATTTTCAAAAAGCCACGTTTACAAATTTATGCAATACCAGCAGAACATAAAGATAGTAAACCAGGGCAAATTAAGGAAGGGAAACCTAACACAATCACCCTCTTTATTAAAAACCTCTGCTTTTTAAAATCTAACCCACCTGAATTCAATTACCCTAGAAAATGTTTATCAGTTGCTGTCAGAGCTCTAGGTCCCCAATACCACCAAAAAAACCCCATCAAACTACGTTCAACAGTTCTCTGATAACCAAATTTGCTGCCAAAAACTTCCTGTCCCATTCTAAATGCCAGCATCCTCACAGTGTCCAAATACACTTGCTGACAATGCTGAATACTTTGCTTGTTTGTACCCATCCTTCTACATCTGCAGGACCAAAATCTCTCTGTGTGGTGGTAAAATTGGCCAAAGCAATTCTTGTTTCTTGTTCCTCATCTGAACGAGGAAATGAGAGTCCCACTTGCACCTCCTACTGCTGCCACATCACCAGTCCCAGGGAGCACAAGGTACTCCTGAACACCCACATTCCAGAGGGCAACATGAGAAAAGGCCATGGCATGCCTGGCTTACCTGGTCCTCGGAGAGCTGTGATATGTGATTCACTGCAGCATAAGACTCTATCTTCGGGTTGAAGTGATTGATGATGGCTCTGAAACAAAGGAGGGAAATTTTCAGAGGTCTCAGGAACAGCTTAGAGATGCAGCAGAAATTCCCTGCCAGAGTAGGTGCACATGGAGCCAGTCCTGCATGAAATTCTTCCCTCAGCACAACGTAGTGTTTGCTGTGCTGATGGCAACGCAGATCCTGACAAAAGCTCACTGGAAGGTGCAAGCACAGGCACTGTCTCACACATGGGTGCCTTTGTCCCAGCAGATACTGGCCTGAGCTTGCTGCTCTGGCAGGGGGAATTGCTGGGAACAGGCTGCAAACTGCTCTCTGTTCCAGCAGAGCCACAGCAAACCCAGCCATCACTGCCCCATCCTGCTCAGGGAACTGCAGCCCCTCAGCATGGCCTGGCATTTTGTGAAACTTTGTTGCCTGATATGATGAAGCTGACAGTTTATTGCTTTGGATTTTCACTCCATTTAAAACATTATAGCTGGCTGACTTGCAGTCATCCATCACTACATCCACTACATTTTGAATTCTTACCATAATGACTTCAGTCCTCACCCCAGTTTAGATCATTAGAGAGAACTTATGTCACTGTCCCAAACACAGCAGCAAATACTGGTTATTCCTGCTCTTCTGCCTCATTTCTCTCACTAGCTGCACAAATCTGCACCACTCCCTTTCCCTTCTAGGTGGATCTAGAAGCAGATGTGAGAAATCTGAAAGTAAAATAACAACTGGGGGAAAAAACCCCACCAAACTGCAGCTGGAGCATTTCCTTGGCCTCCCTTCTGCTCGTCAGGTGCTGCTGCAAAGATAAATGGCAGGACAGAAAAGACTCCCTGGAACAGAGTTTGCAACTGCTCCAGTTGGGCTATTACTCATGGGCCCCACTGCTGAGATAAATATTCACCATGGGAATAGGCCATGTCAGTGCTCAGCACAGATGAGTTCTGACCGTGCCTGGAGAACACTTGCTCAGCCAGATTACACTGCAGCAGAGTCAGGGCTTCCACTCCCATATTCATCAGCATGAAAATTCACTCCAGTCCTCCCTGTTGTACTCTAATGGGTTCCCTCCTCCCCATTCCTCCACCTGCAGAAGGACTTTCAGCTGCTTTCTCCCAACCTCATCACAGCTTAAGAGCTTGTGCCCCAGTCTAGGAATACTTGATATTCAATGGTGCCAGTCAGAACAGGTGGATAAAAACCTATGTAGAAGCATCTTTAATTTAAATACACAGTTAAAGGGTGTGGAAGGTGTGGAGAGAGGGAACAGGAAAAAAAACCAACCAAACAAACACAACTCCAAAAACCTCCAACCCAAACAGAATCTGCAATTCATTGACTCAAAGAATTGTTTCAGTTGTAGGGAGGAGACCTGTAAAGCTCATCTAGCACAACTTCCCTGAAATGAGCAGACATATCTTCAACAATATCAGGTTGCTCAGAGCTCCATCCAACCTGACCCTGAATGTCTCCAGGGACGGGTCATCCACCCAGTTCCAATGCCTCACCATTCTCATTGTTTAAAACTTATTTCTCATATATAATCTGTATCAATTCTCCTAGTTAAAACCATTATCCCTCCTCCTGTTGCGACAAGCTCTGCTAAAAAGTTTTTCATTAGCTCTCTTGTAAGTCCCCTTTAAGTACTGAAAGGCTGCAATAGTCTACCCACAGCCTTCTCTTCTCCAGTCCTCTCAGCAAGTCTTCAAGGAACGGTTCATCCCTCTGAACACTCTCATGGCTCCATCCAGTGTCCATGCCCTCCCTGTGCTGAGGACACCAGAGCTGGGCACTGCACCCAGGTGGGGTTTCAGAGAGCAGAGCAGCAGGACAGAATCATCTCACTCACCCTCCTGGCTGTGATAGCATCACTGCAACGCTCCCAGCCACACCTCATCACACACCAGGTGCCAGCCAGCACACAGGGCCTGTCACCCCTGCAGCTGCTCCTACAGCATCCATACAGACCTGGCACATCCAGAAAACAAATTCAGCAGTGCCTCTACCAGGCTTTCTGCAACCCCTTCCCTCTGGAGAAGGACAAACACCCAGGTGGAGACATGGCCACTCTTCCCATTTCAGTGTGACCAGAGTCACAATCACACTGTCCATTACCCAGCCTCTCCAGCACTCTGGCTTTCAACTGCCAGCTTCATGCCTGGCTGGAGTCATATTTATACCCCTACAGGACACATTGCAAGTTATTGAAAGAAAATGGAACACAGACTTACAACAACTTAACTTCTGGCTTGACAGAAGGTTTGGCAGCTCAGAGGGGTTCAGTGCACTCACATGGTTCCAACATTTACCAGGGAACAGATTTAGCATTCATTTGTACCCACTGCTGTGAAGCACTTCAGCATGGGCTGCCTGCTCACAAGTCTCCCCTTGGATCTGAGCTAGTGGAGCAGCACCTGCAATCACAGCTGGGATTCACCAGTGAAAGCAAAACCAGCAACCAGCTGCCACTGCAGTGAGAATCAACAGACATCAAGGAAGGAAAAGAATCTGAGTCTCCTTCCTCATTTCCCAAAAGGTGAATGGGCAACTCCTCAGTGATTAGATGAAGTTCAACTATTTAATTTGTTTTAATTATGCAGAATTCCTCCCCAGTCTGACCATCTGCAGAGCTATCTTCCTGAACCCACAGGCAGCCTGGGGTAGAGAAGCATGAAGAGCTTGGATTCAATCCTGACTCTGTGCAGCCAGGTTCTTACTGCCCAACACACCCACCAGGGCCAGGCTTTGCACATGGTACAGCTCCTTCTCATCTGCTGTAAGATATTCCATTGCTATCCAGGCCAAAAAACACCTTTCTGCATCAGCTGTTGTCATACACCTCTGCTATTCTTCCATCTCTCAAAATACATCTTGTCCCTGCGGCATGCTTTTGGCAACTGGCCTCCTGGGATATTCACTGATTAACAGCTGGAATTCACTTTGCAGAGATGCCTCTTCAATTTGATCCTGGAGAAAATGCAAGACCAGAACTTTGAAACACAGTGTTATTGACAAAAGAACCAGTGGTTCTGCCACCATTAGTTCCCACACCAGCACATAGCAGCTGATCCTTGGCAATGATTTATTTTTACACTGTGATTGCCTCAATTACTGCCACACCAGCCAGCAGCTTCGAGGAGGGGGAAGGGAGCGGTTAAAGCACTTAGAAAAGATTTGTGATTATGTGTTCTACTGAGATCTTCATATTGATCATGGGGGAAAAAAAGAAAACCCTTGTGTTTGGTATTCATGAAACGTGAGCATCTTCAACACATTTGTAAAGCAAGGAAATGGTGAAGTGTCAACTGAAAGACAAAATGCTGCAGTTCCCACACAGCCTTCCACAGGATGGGCACTCACATGTTTGCACACTGCCAAGTCCCTCGGTGGGGCTGGCTGCCATGTGTCACACAAATTTCACAGCACCTGTGGGACACAATTCTCCAGGGACTGAGAGATGTCACTTCAGACACACTGCCTCCTCTGACAGATCCACAGTTCAGCAGTGAACTGACAAGAGGACACTGTCACTGGACAAAGGAAAGATGCTGAATAAACAGAAGGCTCAGGAATCAAAAAAACGGCTCTCAGTGTCTTGTCTTGAGATTAATGCAGGGTGCTCTAAGGCAGATCACAAGCCATCTCCACATTCTATATTTCTCAATCTCCTGGGGAGAGATGTTATCTCCCAGTAAATACACAAGGCATACCAGTGGTCTCCAAGAAACACACATCTCACATCACTTCTTCATGCAGCTCTTCAAGCTACCTACACACCATGATGCCAGAAACATGTAGAGACATATATTGAATGAACCTGCATATTTCTCAGGATAAACAACCTAGGACACTTGAATTTATGTGTCTTTGCATTTATTGCATATTTACTGCATTCATTTAATTCTTCATGAGGAAGAGAATGATTGCAGGAAAAACCACTCTGATTTAGAAGACTCAAAGTGCAGATGAATTATTTATTTGTACTAGCTGTATTAATCATGTTATTAGACAGTAAAAGCAGGTCCCACTGTAACAGGTATTGTACCAATCCAGAGTGGTGGAAAGCCTCTGTCCCAGGGGCCAAGGGTCTCAAATGCAAGAGAACAGGGAAAGCACAGAAAAGCTCGTTGGCAACAGAATATGTAACAGTGCTGCTCCTGACTGAGCATCACAAAACAATTCAGTTTGAGATAAACCATGGACAGAAAAAACAGAGAAAGAATACTGAAGGAATTATAGAGAGATAGGAAAAAGGAGATAGAAGGGCAGATAGGATCAAGATACACAGAGGTGAAAAACTGCGGAACAGGGAGGATCAGAGAAACAGCAACTCATCCCAGGGCAGTCTGTTCTCTGCAAACTGGAAAGCTCCAACTGCTGGAAAGTTTCTACTTTGGCTATTCTTGAGGCTGCAGAAATTGGCCAGTCCTGAAGCGACTGTTATTTGCCCTTTCTCCCTCAAAACCACATATGCTGGAAGGTGAGAAGCAGAAGAATTTCCATGTGGGCCCTACTGATTTTTTGTTCCCCAAATAGGGACGTGACACTGTGGCTCTCACCTAGAGCTATGGTGAGAGAAGGAATCCCCCAGGCAAGCTGCATTCCCCCACCCTCACTGTGTTCACTGCAACAGCACTTGCTTCTGCAGTGGCTGCAGTAGCTCTACAGACAATAACATTTATAAACTTAGGTTTATAGTCTTTAAAAACTGTCTTAAGAGTTCTCTTTGATACAGAGAAACAACCAGTGGTGTCCTGCAGAGAGGCCCAGAGCAAAAGAACTTCTGAAGACACAAATTCTGCTGACTGGAAAGGGCTCCTATGACAAGTAATATGGCATGCATGGAAAGAAAAGGTTTAATTAATTCCTGAGTTTAATTCACCACTAATTGTAACATCAGGTGTGAGAAGTGAAACACACCAGCAACACGAAGGCACTGGGCCCACAATTAACAGGATCCTCCAGCCCAGGTGAGCCTCCATGGTAAGGAAGGCACCTCATCCTCCTTAACCTCCCAATGAGCTGGGC